GGAAGTAAAATATATTTGTATTTTATTTATTTATTTAATGCCATTTTTGTGCAAACTATATATACAGTGGTAACAGTCAAACATGGCGGTGGTAGTGTGATGGTCTGGGGCTGCTTTGCAGCTTCAGGACCTGGACGACTTGCCATAATTGATGGAACCATGAATTCTGCACTCTATCACAAAATCCTGAAGGAGAATGTCTGGCCATGAGTTTGTGACCTCAAGCTCAAGCGCACTTGGGTTATGTAGCAGGACAATGATCCCAAACACACCAGCAAGTCCACCTCTGAATGGCTCAAGAAAAACTAAATTAAGGTTTTGGAGTGGCCAAATCAAAGTCCGGACTTAAATTCGATTGAGATGCTTAAACAGTCCATTCATGCTCGAAAACCCTCCAATGTGGCTGAATTAAAACAATTCTGCAAAGAAGAGTGGGCCAAAATTCCTCCACAGCGATATGAAAGACTCATTGCCAGTTATCGCAAACACTTGATTGCAGTTGTTGCTGCAAAGCGTGGCACAACCAGTTATTAGATTTAGGGGGCAATTACTTTTTCACGTAGGGCCAGGCAGGTTTGGACAGCTTTTTTCCCTTAATAAAAGAAATCATCATTTAAAAACTGCATTTTGCATTTACTTGCATTATCTTTGTGTAATATTAAAATTAGTTTGATGATCTGAATCTTTTAAGTGAGACAAATATGCAAAAAATAAAAAAAACAGGAAGGGGGCAAAAACCTTTTAACACCACTGTATATATTATTCAACAAGGATTCATTAAACTGAAAAAAAGTGACAGTATAGACATTTATAATTTTACAAAATATTTATATTGTGATTAAATGCTGTTTTTTGAGCTTTCTATTCATCAAAGTATACTGATGCAAAATCACTGTAACAGTTTCCACAAAAATAATAAACAGCATAACTGTTTTCAGTGTTGTTTAATGAGAAATGTATCTTGAGCAGCAAATCAGTATATTAGAATGATTGCTATCTAAATGTGACGCTGAAGACTGGAGTAACGATGCTGAAAATTCAGCTTTGCATCACTGGAATAATTTTACAATTAAAATCTAATCAAATAGAAAACTTTTGTTTTAAATGGTAATAGAATATACAATATTACTGATTACTCCATTTTTGTTCAAATTAGGGATGTCAACGATTAATCGATGATCGATTAATTGTCGATAAGAGATACAATCGATTAAAGCTACCGGTGGTCGATTAAGCAGTTTAATTTTGGGCTGCGTGCGGCTCATGTGCAAAACACGTGCGAGCGGCTGTGCGTGACGGTGACGGTATATAAATGCATCATCATTCATTCATAATGTACAAATTAAGCTTTTAATGTGATTTAAACTTTAAAAGTACATTAAAATAGAAACAGATAGGCTATTCATTCCTACAAATTAAGTACTGGTCATAATACTCACATAAAAATGTTTCATGTGAGCAACAGTGTGTTTTGCTGCAGCAGCGCTGATGGAAGCGGTTCACTGACTGCGCAGCACAGCCACACGCTCCACAGTTACGTTTGGGATCATTTTATTTTAAATGCCATTATGTCAGTTGAAAACATTGCAGTTGTGTTTTAAAATACAACAACGAGCACCACGAAACCATTTAAAGAGGTGCGTTCAGCGGTCTTCGTGACGGGATAGGAAACACTGACTCAACAAAGTAAAATGATCTCAAACGTACGGCGCACTCTTTTCATTTTATCAAATGATCATAATCACATTTATTCATTTTACAATCCTGCTACTAGCATTTCATTCAGACTAAAACCCCTTTAATTTGGGTGAGAAATAGAGAATAGAGAAACATTTTTTTGGAGTGGCTTTTACGTATCATGTCATGCTGGTGACTCCGTGCCGCTGCAGTAGATGCATTTAGCAGCATTAAGGTTAACGATTAATCTAATGTAATTGATCGTTAATTTAAATGACGATCAATCATGGAAATGATCGAAAATTGACATCCCTAGTTCAAATAAATGCAGCCTTGGTGAGCAAAAGAGATTTCTGTGTAAGAAACTTCTTTCAAAAATATTCAAAATCTTACTGACCCCAAACTTGTGAATGGTGTATATATGTGGAATATATAGTCAATGTTGTCAGTGCAAGTAAAAATCTGAAACTTCTGTGAATAATACCTTTACAATTACTGTAATTTACACATGCTTTCTGTTTTTGTTCTTACATTATAAACAACCTAAGTGAAAGGTCTTCAAGGTTCTGTGCTTTGATTAGCTTTTTGCATTTTTTTTTCTTAAGCTCAGAGCAACTGCTATTTGCCTATGTCACATTGCATCGATGCTGAATCCATTTAACCAATGAGAGTGGTTTAAGTCTCATCAGAGCCAGATCCATTTGGGGAGAGAGGTGGCAAAAAAGCTGGGTCAATTGTTTCAGCGGAAGGGCACAGACAACAGCTGTAATGACTTTCCTGGAAGCAGCTGGCAGAAATGCTGTCTGGGATCACTAATGGTGAAATAATGCTCTTATTTGGTGCTCTTTCTCTAAGGATAAATTTGATGGCAAGACCTGGGATTGTTGTTCTCGATTTCTGCTTTTATTGGGCTGATCATTCAGCAGTTACTAGTTCAGAAGAGAGGTCTTTTTTAACTCTTATAGCTTCCTGTTGTTATCATTATTAAGGAACCGGCTGTTGTTGGTTCCTTGGGTTGTTCACATTGACAGCGATTAAATCACTGCAGAGCACCAAGTCAAAGATTATTAAAGAAGCGTAGATGGCGACCTCCATGTCTATTAGGGGTGGCACTGACTAGTCAGCCAGTTGATTAGTTCTGCCACTAGTTGAGCTTATGTAGTTAGACCAGTGGTTCTCAATCAGATGGCCTCCGCAAACTTCCAGGGGCCCCAATATGTCCTAAATTATTTAAACTTAGTTATATCAACATAGTCTTAATTAAAGTGCTTGAAAAAATCTTAAAACAAATATTTAAGTAAATCACAAAAAATTGAGATGTAAAAGTGTATTAAGATATAAAAAGCAAAAATGCCTATTTGGCAATATTTCTATTTTATTTATTTTTTTAAATCATGCCACATTGTAGTCATTTGTTCCCTAAATCTAATTAAATCAACATGAGGGAATAAATTAATACAATGTTGCTGTGATTTAATAAAACAATGGAATGAATTAAGTCATAGGAACGAATTCTTAATTTGTTGCCACATTGAATATATTTTTGTCTGCATGTCATGTACAGGGCTTCGTATAACACTTGTCTTACTTTCGTTAACAAAAGTTCTAGTTTTTTTTTTGTATGTGCAGGTTTTGACAGCAAGGTTTACACACATCAAAAACACAATACAAATATAGACATTGCATAAACATTTAGTTGTTCAGCAGGATTAATAAATACATAATATGAACATATCAAATATTAAAAAAAATACAGAATATGTATACATATAAATATATATAAAGAAAGATAAAAAAAAAACAAAGGCCAAAGAAGATTTATGCAAAACCAGTATAAACATGCATCACAATGGGGCAATCTTCAGATTTTCAAGCTGAATACTGTATTCCCAAGGTTAATAAATGTGTTTGTTCCAGTGAGAAAAGGGTCTCATATCTTGTAAAACTTAAAAGGCTTGCCTTTTAATGCAATAGAAAAGACTTCATATGGAGTAAGAACTTCAGCTGTATTTATCCACTAGTAATTTAGGGAATTTGGTCTGTTATCCAACATAGAAGTATACATTTGAGAGCATAGTTTAATAGTATTTGAAGAAGATGGGCTCCTTGGAATTTGAAGGGGAATTCTTGACTTATACCTAACAGACATGCTTTTAATATAAGTGAGTTTGTAATTGTAGTATTTTATTTAATAATAATGAATTTACCATTTTCAAGCATTTTTTTTTCCTTTTTTTTTTCAAAGAAAGGGAACGATGTAAAGATCTAATGTTAAAGATCAAAATAAAAAATGCAGATCCTGACAAATATCTTGTAAAATATGCAGTGTAATCGGTAATATCGTTGTTGTTACAAGTTTATTAAAGGTAGGATAAGCAATTTTTCAAAAACGCTTTAGAAAACTGATTCGGGCCGAATAGCAAAACAAACTTGTAGCCAATTAGCAGTAAGGGGCGTGTCTACTCATGATGTGGAGGAGAGAGTGCTCAGTGCACAGGACAGACATTAGCGAGCCGAGCGACAGAAAGATCGAGATGGCGAATAAAAAACAAAAGAGGAAAACGTCTGCGGAACAAAAGAAGGCTGAAGGCAATAAGGCAAGAAGTAGGACCCGTGTAAATATCGGATCAGCTTTCCAGCGCTGGAGAGAACTCAAGGAGCGGAAGGCCTGCGATCGGACGCCGAGGTTGCTTTGTTTCTTCTCGATAGGTGACTAACACTATGTCTGCGCCGCAACAGCTAAAGTCTGTCTAGTACACTGGACGCGACAAAACGATCACTGAAAATCATTTGAAATTTGTGTCAATACGTCATGAATAGAACGCAGCAGCAGTTTTCTGTCGTGGATTTGTCGTGCCACGCCGCATCCAGTGTAGACCATAGATATGTATATATATCTATGGTGTAGACAGCATCACTGATTATAATGAGTTCTATAGTATTTTGTCGCGCCACTCGCATTCGGTGTAGACACAGTGTAACATTGGTTTTGCTTTGTTTCAGAGAACTAATCATTGCCTGTGTTGCGTACGTATGTGTGGGGTGGAGCTATGAAAATAGGGGCGAGAACCTTTTGGGATAGGGGCGTGTTTGTTTTGGTGATTTTAAATGTCAACATTGGCTACCAGAAATCACTTACCCCACCTTTAATCGGTGGGAAAATTTCCTCACCGTGGCATCTCTAATAGGAGAGCATTCATATGTTGTCTTGTGAAAAAAGGCTGAGATAGCCCTGGGTTCGACAACCTCAGACAACATGTTCTCTGTTTAATAATACAAAAACATCAACAAACATGCATTGCCATTGTCTCTCTTTTCTACAGATTGACCATGTTGATCCTACCCTGAGTCCTGAGGTCTATCTCCTGCACCCGTCCAGAAAGCTGCTTGCCCAGGCTGTGTCATGGCTGCAGGTCTCCCTGTTGCAAATTAGATTCAGGGCCTGCCTTCCTAGAACCAGCATTGCAGCTCGTCTGAGCGGGGCCCTGCTGGAAGCCACAGCTGCTCTCGGGGCCCGAAGTTCTCTGCCTAGCTTCACTGTTGGCTCCACAGGTCGAGCGATGCTGAAAGGTAAAAAACCCACCAGTTTTGTTGGTGCTTCATGCTGATGTTTTTACGATTAAAGGGGAAATTAAAGGGTTACTCCACCCCAAAATGAAAATGTTGTCATTAATCACTTACCCCCATGTTGTTCCAAACCCGTAAAAAGCTTTGTTGGTAACACTTTACAATAAGGTTCATAAGTTAAACATTAGTTAATATATTAACTAACATGAACTAACCATGAGCAATACATTTGTTACTGTATTTACTAATCTACGCTAATGTTAGGTAATAAAAATACAGATGTTCATGTTAGTTCACAGTGCATTAACTAATGTTAACAAGATTTTAATAATGTATTAGTAAATGTTGAAATTAACATGAACAAAGATTAATAAACGCTGTATAAGTGCAGTTCATTATTAGTTCATGTTAACTAATGAACCTTATTGTAAAGTGTTACCGCTTCGTTCGTCTTCGGAACACAATTTAAGATATTTTGGATGAAAACCGGGAGGCTTGTGACTGTCCCATTGCCAAATAAATAACACTGTCAAGGTCAAGAAAAGTATGAAAGACATCGTCAAAATAGTCCATCTGCCATCATTGGTTTAACCATAACGTTATGAAGCGACGAGAATACTTTTTGTATGCGAAGAAAACAAAAATAACGACTTTATTTAACAATTCGTCTCCTCTTTGTCTCTCCGCATCACCGTAGCGTCATTTTGGAGAATATCCGCTGGATGCAAGCAGCTTACGCTATTCTGTGTCAGCTGCGACACAAGGATACGTTTTCTACATGTATTTACGCTTTGATTTGATTGAAAATAGCGCATCCGTGCAGCGCGGCTGACACAGAAGAGCATACGCTGCTTGCATTCAGCAGATATTCTCCAAAATGGCACTACGGTGATGCGGAGAGACGCAGAGGAGACGAATTGTTGAATAAAGTCGTTATTTTTGTTTTCTTCGCGTACAAAAAGTATTCTTGTCGCTTCATAACGTTACGGTTGAACCACTGATGGCAGATGGACTATTCTGACGATGTTTTTCATACTTTCTGGACCTTGACAGTGTAATTTACTTGGCAGTCAATGGGACAGTCACATGCCTCCCGGTTTTCATCCAAAATATCTTAAATTGTGTTCCGAAGGCAACTACGCTTTTACGGGTTTGGAACGACATGGGGGTATGTGATTAATGACAAAATTTTCATTTTGGGGTGGAGTATCCCTTTAACAACTGACTAACAACAATACTTTCTATTCACGTTGAACAGATAATAAAAAGACAACTTTAACGGTCTTTGTATTCCCATGTGGATGCCCCCCCCCCCCACGCTTAAAGGCTGTTTTTTTTAGTTTCTTTT